CTGTGGCCATGGAACTGATTGGAACACCTGATTCTGATTATTTGGATGGGTGAGCGAATACTTTTGGCAATATAGTGTATAACGTCTGACATTTATATTGGAACAATTTTACTCATCCAACTATACTAGCACCATCTTATTTTGAGACTTTGAAGGCTTGTTTTCATTGCCACCACCACATTCTCTTTCTTTCCTTCAAGCTCTTTACCTTTGTATAGGACCAAAACTATTCTTCTTAATATACTTTCAACTTCCTGTTAATAAAAGAAAGAAAAAGTATAGGAAAAATACAGTTGAGTATTGGGCTCAAGAAAAGACCTAACTTTCAGGAGGAAGTATCAGCAAAGATAAAATGTCTAGTCTCCAAAATGGAGACCAAGCGTCAGTCAAAATAACTGTGAAAAAATTGAACAAGACTTTCAGTACATCCAAAATAAACTCTAATGTAGTCTACATCGGACCCTCACCACCCTTCAGGCTTTCCGTAAAGCCGTTAAGACCTGGCTGTTCCAGCAGGCCTCGGGCTGCTGAGTTCCATCCCCACTCAAACTGGTGTGCTTGTTGAGACCTTTTAAATTGCTTCTGTATTGTTGTTTGTTTTTGTTTTCTTTCCTTTTGTATTGTTCCCCTTCCCTTTCGGTTTTGTTAGCCACCCTGAGTCCCTCGGGAATAGGGCGGCATACAAGTTGAATAAAACCTCTAAACCTCATGTCCTTCAACTATTTCAGTTTTATATTAGGAAGATGAGTGCACAAAGCTTTTATTTTATAAATTTGCTTTACACATAAACATAACTAGCCACAATTTGAAAATGGGTGGGTAGCCAAAAATGCTTAATTTTTGAAATAAACAGAACTAATTTTGGGGCACAGTCTTACACTTCTGCACATAAGGTTTGCAGGACTATTTTTACTCGTTCTCTTTGCAGCTCTAGCAAGTGAAGCGTCTTAAGAGATGCTGTCCTCGTTTTCACTAGCATGCCTGTTTCTGAATCAGATGACAATTTTGTCCCTCCTTCAGGTACATAATATTTATTTTTACGCTAAAACGGTACGTTTTGAGCAAATACTCAAGAGCAGATGCTAATTCTCAACACAACTCTGTTATTAAAATTTATTTTTAGAGGGCTCTTAAGTGAAAAACAGTTTTCTTTTACAACCCCAGAAATGAACCTACCTGTCCAATTATGAGTGGAACTACAACAGTCATGAACAACTGTGAGAATATAGATGAAAAAGGCACAGAAGAAGAGGATCCAAGCTACAAGACAAAATGAAATACAACATTAATATAGGATTTTAATTACAATTGACTTAACTATGAGTTTGTTTAACTCAACAGGGCAGTATTTCTGTATAGCCCCTGCAGCACTCCAAAATTTACGTGGGCTGTGTGTGTCTCTGCGTTTAAATAGCTGAAATCTTGTAAGAACAGAGAAATCACACAAGATGTTGACATTCTCAGGAGAAGAAGATCTGGAATGAAAATGCTAAAGTCTCACAAATGTTTCTCAAGATTTTGAAATTTTGTTTCTGTTTTGTTTTGGCTCTGTCCTCTGAAAAAGCTGCCAACCAATTGGAGTTAAAAAATTGAAATCTGTTTAGATTAGTAGGTAGGTATGTATACTCCTGTGGCATCACATAAAAACATGGGAGAATTCCAGGAATTTATTACATACATTGAATCTGTTACTGTACACATAAACATATCCTTCAAGGTAATTCAAGCAATATCCATTATCCTCAGGAAGGTCTTAAAGTTCAATACTGACTTAATCCTCCACCAAAGAATTAATTATTAGTCAGTCATTCTGACATAACTATATAAATCAATTGGTGACAACTACTTTAGCTCAATATCCAGAACCAATAACTCTTAAAACCTTACAGATGTACTAGACTGTACAGTTTTGCATCATATTCATACAGTATCATCACTAACCTGCTGGTGAAACTGGGAGTCATAACTAAACACAACTGGAGAGCAAAGTTCAAAAAAGGCTGCCTTACATTATGTTTCCTCAGGATGTGGTAGAAACAAATCTTAGAATTAAAACCAACAGTAAAGTGCTGTTAAAGCACATTGATGCTTAGAGGAAAAATCAAGATATTCTACCAAAGTTTATATCTCCAGAGATCTTCCATATAGCAGAGTTTTCATTCCATTTCTATCCCACAATCCCTCACAAGCCAGTTTGAAGTCAATCCTCAATCACCTCCCTTCCACTTGCCTTGAAATACTGAAGCCAGTCATTGAGAACAAATATAAGCCAAGCCATTTATAAGACTATGCCTTTCTAGCCAAGAGGGCAGCACAGATTAGATAATAACCACAAGGATTTACTGGTATCCTACTTAAACTGAGAAAAACAAGTGAAAAATCCATAGATTTGATTTTTTTCACACTTGTGCCTTTATGATACAGCATTTCCAAGATCATGTGACTGCAATTTTGGGTCTTGGTGCCTGACTTGCAATCACAATGTCGCAGTGAGCCAAGTAACATGATTGTGACTTCTGACGTTTCCTACTGGCTTCTTACAAGCAAAGTAAATGTGGAAGTTGGCAGAAAACTAAAGTTACAGTCACATCATCTATGCACGCATATGACTCTGAAAAGAGGAATAAATGGTTAACTTGGACTTAGGGGCTGGGAGATGGGATCAAGAATTCAATGCCCATGGATACAGAATAGTCAGTGATAATTAAACTGACTGGAAATGGATTTTAAAAAAAAATTAAGATTGGTTTCATTAATGAGATTACCCATATTGATGAGATTACCCATATCACTTAGGGGTGTACTCACGTTTGTTGCCAGCAGTTTAGACATTGATGGCTGTGTTACGTTACATTTACACTAGTATACAAGTTGTATACTGACTACTTTACATTGTAGATAGTTTCATTTCTTCAGTGTTGACACATGAAAAGATATACTTAAATATTTACAAAATGTGAGGGGGTGTACTCGCTTCTGTGATATACTGTATGAAGCCTTTTTTTCCAGATAAATCAGTTAATTAATCAGTTAATCTGTATCCAGAAACTCACCTTTCTAGTTTATATTCCTTTCTAAGATAGTATCATTAGATTTAAGGACAGCAAAAATAATTAGCGAATTTATTTACTAATTATTATTATTTTGTAATTATAAATGAATTACACATTATAGACAGAATGAAAACATACGATAGAAATCAATTTCCATTCCATATTTCCATGCTTCTCAGACCAACTGTTCAACTTATCTCATTTTTGACAGACTAACAAATATCTGAGCAATGGTATTCTCCAAGGAGAATTTTTTTTAGTTTTGGCAAGAGTGCTGGCCAGGTGTTTTGGCCAGATGGTGGTTACCAATGTCCCAATTTGTGGATTCTCTTGCTTCTTTATATGTTCCATCTGAGCTGCGAAAGTAAACACCAAATGTTTTCCTTTCCATAGATGAGTTTTTGAAGACAAGGTTTCCATTTATAGACCTTCCAATTTCATAATATTCTTATTTGAATCAAATGATATTTAAGTAATTTAGAATAATATTTTTTTAATTGGCCTTTATTTTTATAAATAAGTCAAGTTGGCAAACATACCTAATACTCCTTCTTCTTCCTACTTTCTTCACAACAACAAACCTATGACATGAGTTAGCTGAACAGTGAATGCTTGGCCCAAAATCACTCACATACTTTTCATGTCTAAGGTGAAATTAGGACTCACAGCTACTGGTTTCTTGCCTGTTTCCTTAACCACTAGATAAAGAAAGTGCTACTGGTTTGAAGAAGAGGTAACACTGTGCAATATGTCCATTTTTAAAAATCAATGGCTTCTTTCTATGTTTTATCATATGTAAAGTTGTAAAACTAAAAACAATAGCTGGGAAGACTGCAGTGATTCTGGGCATTTCAGAAATTTAGCACCATAGTCAATACTAGCAATGTAAAAAAATATGTTTGTTGCCTTTATTTAAAAGATTTGTATGGCAGACCATCTTAAAACACTTCTCTAGGCACCTCATAACAACAATAAAGCATCTAACCATAAAAACATAAAACTGTAAAAATGCATTTTTTCTCTCCACTCAAAAAAAAAATCACATGCTTTTTAGAAATGCAATGAACTCTTCATTCTAAGAATAGTGTACAATGCTATATTATTTGCCTTAACACCGTCCAAATTAAGTATATCAAGAAATGAAGCAGCAGCTTTAATTTACCAGGTTTGGGTTACATTACAAAGAATAGCAAACAACAACACGGTTCATAATAGCAGCTTTTTTGAGCTTTATGTTCTGATTACTTGATATTTTTTGTTCAAAGAGCACTAACACTGAAATGCTTCTCAACACAACAATTTTAATTGATTTTTTTTAAGTACTGCTATCTTGCATATTGTTTTATCTCTGTGCAGACATATTTTTGTCCATGTACATGTATGTGTACTTGAAGTTCCAGTATATTGTAGTGTAGCTACAAACCAAAAAGCTTGATGGAATTAAATAAGATTTCAAAAACTGTTCTCTTGTGATTTGGAACACAACAGCATATAATTATTTATGTTGTTAAAAAAAAACTTATGCCACTGCACATAGGTATGACTGTCATTTAATTTCTCACTGGTGCCTCATATGTCCTGCCATTCTAGAACATTCAAAGAAAATTGACACAAGCATCAGTAACCATTAGACTATTTCTCTACCACATCAATATCCTGAAGCAATCCTTTCTCAAAGGCATGATAAAGAAACGTAATAGTGGCACGTTAACGGAAGGAAAGTGCATATTTTGCTATTGTTTGCTACTACAAAATAAAAATAAAAAAGGAAAAGCAGCAAGAGACATGCTATATAACTGATTATACTCTTATGTACTAAATATTTTAGATTTGATATGAAAATATTCTTTCTATATTTCTTGCAGTTTCAAAATGTTGGGGGCTCAGGCCCAGGTATTTTCTTGTGTCATTATAGTAAGGATTCTAATTTCTCATTAAAATGACCACACTCAGAAACCATTTTAAAAATGTTTTATGATTCTGTTTAACTAGAAACCATACAGTGTTTGGTGCTCTCCCCTTTCTTATTCAATACATACCCAATTATACATCTCTGGCCCTGGTGAATTAAGCAATTCCATGACTGTCTTATCCCAGTGCCTAGAGACTGTGGGGTTTTTTTGATGGGGAACTAGTTTTAGCTTAACCTGGCAGTATTACCTATAATTTTTAGGCATCATTATAAGCTTTTTAGTTTAAAAAAAACTAAATAGGAAATTAGCAAGTTACTCTGGCAGAGTTTAAACACTTCTTCCAGGAAAATTAAATATATTATTAAACATTCCTGTAAAATCTCTTTTTCAGATTTACAATTAACAACTTTCGAAGAACATAAGATGAAACTTTTAGTCTCACAGTCTCAGAACCAAACAGAACCAAACCAATCTTGCTTTGAAAGCTTATAATCCAACATTTTAGACAATAAGCCTGGATGGGGACGGATTCTTTCATTTAATTTACAAGTTTGGGTTGACATGGATAAAGCCATTCTTCTCTTCAGAATTGATAGAGAAACTCAGATTCTCTTCTATTCTTATATTTGGAGCCAACATCCATTTGCACTTGCAAAGCTCCATATTGTCTTTCCCTCCCTTTCCTCTTTCCTTATGTTCAAGCAGTGACAACAGCAAAGGTAGAGATTATCAGTCTTCACCAGTCTTACTCTTCCCAACCAAAAGTGTGGTTTTAGCCCAAAGCTAAGAGTTGACAGACAAGACTACTCATTGAGGGCATTTTCGCCAAGAGCTAACTTTTTTGTGTAGGAGTTGTTAGTTCTTAACTGGAATTTCATGCTACAGAACTGCAATAATTTTCTCGACCAGCTTTATGATCCAGGGATGAGCTCCAATGTGCCCTTGGCAACCACCATTTTATTAAGGAAAAAGAAGATTAGCAAGCTGAAATATTATGCCTTTTACATTATATTTATTTTCAAGAACACTACCCCAAAGGCATTTCTAAAAAACAAAAATGGTAGATAGCTATAGGATAATTGTTTTATTTGGAAGCATGCACAATCCCTTAGCAAAAATGCAAGTAAGTTAAAGCACGGGTTTCAAACTTGTGGTGTCACATTGCTATCACGTGACATATCACAACTTTTTCCCCCTTCATGGAGCTGGGGTGGGTGTGGCCTGTAAGTAACACATCTGGCCCACGGGCCACCAGTTTGACACCCCTGAGCTAAAGTGATTGAGATTGGGTGGATGGACAGGAAAGCTAGAAAGTATAGAAGGAAGCAAACACAACCATCTGCTTTCTGTAATCAGCAATGCCTATCACAGAGGTTCTTTTGTGAATTATGAATTTCTCCCTTCCCTTAATCACCATTCTATGAAAAAACCCATGGTATTCCCTTAGACTGTAAGGAGTCCATTAGCCAAAACTAAATTGATATGCTCCTATGCTATCTATAAATCAGTCATACAGATTATTCCCTCAGATGAGGTAGTCATGAGCAATGTGTGAGACATTTTTATTTTTGCTGGCTTAAAAACATGTTGTTAGTACACCTTACCTAGCAAACAGTGTAAGATGAAATACATATATAGTCCATTGGCAATATTTTGGTGAAATTACAATGCATCTTTAGGAAGAAATTGGAAAGTAAAATCCTTCCATCATTTAAAATAATCTGCAACAGCTCATTTACAGTACAGAACAGTACAGAGCAATAGTAACAGCAATACAATATCTCAAGTAGAATCAAAATTAAGATACTTACAAAAAGCAGTAGGAGCAAAGGAGTTATAACAATGCCCTGGAAGAAAACAAGAAACATATTTGGTTATAAATAGATGTTGTTCTTTGCCACATCAAATATCAATGCAGAAAACATCAGGAAGCCTCCTCCTAAGTAGCTAGATATTTACTTATGAACTCACTATAAGGATCATTTGAGATACAGCAGAGGTCCCCCCAATGTTAAACCCTACAAGAATGTTGGGACTACAACCCCAAGAATTTTTAACCAGTTATGACCTGTAATGTAGGATACTGTACTTCCAGTATTTTTGAAGACATTAATTTTGGACAAGTTATACCAGTTTTTACCAAATTTATATAGTGATTTCTTTAACATCTTTGTGAGCAAGGACATTTCAGACTCCTACACAGATAAAGAAATTGTGAATGATCTATATTAACTGCAAGTTAGTTATGTCTTCGAGATTAATTTTTCAACTTCTAACATAGACATATCTTTGCTTCTTAGATGCACTCCATAAATATGCAAGTTGTAGAACCTTCCATGCTTAATAAACAGGCCCTACCATAAAGGGGACAGGTGGTTTACTATCTTATTGTCTGAGCTATGGCCCTCTCCTGAGTAAAGTCTGCATCAACTGTGATGAATTAGGTGTCGTGTGATTTTGTAATGTAAACTGATATCCCCTAGGAAGTGAGCTGGTATCTCAGAACTCATTTCACTTGATTAGACTCTGTGTCTCCATGGTGGGAAGGCAAGTCTTTCATCTAATTTAGTCACACAGGACCACTTCAGCTCTCTGCATCCCTGAGGCAAAGGAAGGGAAAAGATTTGTTTTCTTCAGTGACAGCAAAGAGGTTTAAGGCTGATCACTGGGCATAAGACAAGATTTTAAGCCTCAAGATTTTAGGACTGGGAGATAACATGCCAAACATCATCTTTACATTAGCAAATGTCAATTCTCTCTTTGCCTACTCAGTACTTAATAATGAATTAACAAAAGCAGTTTGTTACTCAATAAATATTAATTCAGTACCATAAGCAGCTCTTCCCTTCAAGGCTATTTTCCCTAAACAGTTATCAAATATAGTTTTCTAAATATAAATATGTTAATGTGCTATCACTTTAAACTATAATTTAAAAATATTTTTTTTATTTTATTTTAGAGAAATTCTAAAGTGATCCATAGCCTTTGATTTAAGTTTGAATTCCACCTCCGACATAACTCTTTCCTGGTTTACCTTGTTTGCTATTTTCAGTCCATCCTTTCATAAAGGGAACTTTTATACCTTTCCATTCAGAGGGTTCTTGTTAGAAATGTGAGATAAAATTTTACAAAAAAATATCTAGACATAATGGAGTTTTGAGGCAGGATGAACTATACACTTAAGCAAACAAAACCTCTCTGTATATATTTTTTACACAACTCCAAGACTCGATTGTAAATTAAAACAAAATGTCTTAAGTTGAGGATCTATAAAAACCTTAATTCCTCAAAAATGGAGACTGTGATTCCTTTGTATTTAAATTCTTATTTATGAATAGTTTAAAGTACAGTATTTTCCCCAATTTCTCAATTAAAAATGCAATTTCTAGTGTCCTGGCTGATTAATGGCGAGTAACTGACCAGCACTAGGTACTTATCATGGTGAATTTTGTATAATTTTAAAATGAGTAATTACAGCTATATACTGTACGTCTGAAATCATTAAACTCCCACATTCTTGCTTTTCAACACAACTTCTGTATGTAAGCATCCTTATTTGTTTGAATACTACTTTTTTGGGGTCTTTCGCTTTCTCCAAGGATCTCAAAGCAATGGGGGGGGGGGAAGGTTTTCTTTCTTCCTCTTTTATCCTTACAGTCATTAAGGTATGATTATATAAAGTGATAATGAATTTAACGCCATTCCATTTCAATCTGCATTTCCGATCTCTAGATCATATTGATTCTTATTTTTAGTTTCCCTCATTGTAACATCTTACAATGAACGGGAAACTGTAATCACTCCCTTCCTCTGAAGGCAAAGTCTTTCTCAGAAGAGTAGAATGGAACCCAAACTTGAGCTAACACACTTCCACTAGTGAATAGGGCTTCCTTTTCCATTGCCCAACTTCAAGCTCTTGTGGTCTACACCAGGGGTCTGCCACCTTGGGAACTTTAAGACTTGTGGACTTCAACTCTGGGAGTTGAAGTCCACAAGTCTTAAAGTTCCCAAGGTGGCAGACCCCTGGTCTACACAACAGTGTCCACTTTTTCACATTTAAAACAAAGAAAAATGAAATTTAACTGTAGTTAAAACTATAATTTAAAAAGTGCATGGGATAAAATATGAAAATTTTGGAAAAATCATTTGTTGCACACATTTTGTTGAAAGTGTAAATAAATATATTCTAAAATATGTACTGTTTGAGTAAATACTATTTTATTTTTTCTTTGGAACCCATTTTTATTGTGTAGTATCATATGAAAAGACAGAGAGATGTAGGAGAGGCTAAATGAATGTGTATATTTTGTTGGGGGGGGGATGTCAGATAATACCAATAGAAAATAAAAATAGAGTAGAGTAGAGTAGAGTAGAGTAGAGTAGAGTAGAATAGAACAGAACAGAATAGCATGGAACTGAATAGAATAGAATCTGGAAGGGACTTAGGAGGTCCTCTAGTCCAGCCTCCTACTCAAGCAGGAGAACCTATACCATCTCAGGCAAGTGACTGCCCGCTCTCTTTTTAAAAACCTTTAGTGATGGAGTGCCCATGATTTCTGGAATAAGGGTGATTAAAAAAATTCTCCATGTATACTCTATAGTCTTCTACATTTCCAGTTTAGTAAATTGAAATACATTTCCCAGTAAATATAGAAATATCTATGTAGCTTCTGCAATAAAACCATACACTAGCAATGTTTTAAATAAAGGGATGATTTCATTTCCATCCCAGGGCACAAGAAAAATAAATAAATAAATCTGTTCTATAAAACTTCAACTTGACTGCTTTGGTGCAAATGCTGTCAAACATGCAGCACACAGAATTGCTGTGGCAGAGCATTTCTTTGCACAAATTGAACATCTGCCCTTGCAGAGGCAAGGTCATTGAACAGCAGAGCATTCTCAAAGTTGGGGTGGTATGTTAAGCTCTGTGATGCAGCCCATAATGGAGTGGAAGTTGTGAAGTGATTGCCTTTTACCATTCAAAAAAAAAAAAACCCTTTCAAGAAATCCATTTACACCTCTGATGTGAAAGACTGACGGAATATATTTCAATGGTTTTAGTGGGAAAGAGGAAAAAGAAAAAAAATTCAAGGCCTGACCCAAAATACTCATGCAAAGAATGGCTCTGCATAGCGGCAGTCACATTGGAACCTGCAAATGCACTTTTCTTTACAATGAGGATCATTTAACATGTCATATTTTAGAAAACCAGTTAGGCATTTCTAAAAGGAAAACTTGTATCAAGGGATAACTTTTTACTACATCTTCTCTAGAAGATCAAACCAATTTATCTAGGTTTCAAATATTAACTTAGACACAGGAAAGAAAGATAGTTAGTTTTGAAAATATAATACACTACTAATTTGCCAAACAAGTCAGTAGTGAAACATAAATAAAGCCACAAGAGTTAGTTATTTAGCAATGAATCATTCCACCTTATTTTGTATTACTGCCTCCATGATAATGATGTCTAAAGCATGTAAGTGGTTAAACAGGGCACAAATGAAATGTGTCATTGTTTTTTCTAATACACACACATGTAAACATAATAAAAACATTGCAAGTTATTTCAAAAAATTAAGAATTAAAAATCTACTGTTATACATGGAGATAAAGGATCAATATTATTTTCACTATTTACAGTGAATTGTAAACATTTCACATAGAGTGACACGTAGCCCACCAGAGTCACTATTATCAGTGAAATGGGCGGCACAAAATTGAATAAACAAATAATAATAGTGTGATCATCTATTGGATATAGTCTTTCACTTCTGGTGGTAAAGAATAAGATGGTTAGTAATGATCTTCCACATTTAATGTTTACTATTTATTTAGATGGTGTGTTAAACCTATTTAAAGTCTTTCACATGCTTTTGTTCACACCCCCCCCCTCAAAAAAAATCAGTGGGAAACTGTGATGCCAATAATTATGTTTTCCTCACTGAATTTTATTATTCTTAATCTGAGGAGTTCTGGGGGATTTGAAGGGGATTTGGGGATTTTGTGTACATTACCACTGCCAAATTTGTGTCTCTAGATATATTGTGGCTGTAATCATCAAATTCTGGAAATGATACTTAGAACAGTGTTTTTCAACCTTTTTGTGCAAAGGCACACTTTTTTCATGAAAAAAATCACGAGGCCATGAAAAAA